CCGAAGAACTTTCGGTACGAGCTTCAGTCGAGCAGGAAATGAACCATAAATATACTCGTTCGTATCTTTATTCGTACGGGTATACTTATTTCGAACAGGCGGCAGCAATTTCCCAAGCGTACAATTGACACATTTTGGTCTTTCCTTGACGTTTGCCAATAAAAATAACGAAATAAAATATGGGACTGTCAAGTGTGGCTGTCTGTATGGGGTGCCGGGGTTCGTCTAATGATTGTGAGGAACGTAGCTGCTACCTTGAAAATGATACGCTAGGGAATCATTAGGGGAAGCGTCATGGTGTGCCATAAATATTGCCAATAGACGACCCAAAGCCCATCGATAATAAGGTTAGAAAGCCATAAACACACAAACCCGTCGAATATCGAACGAGGAGAAAGACTCTCATAAATGTGCCAAATTGGGTTTTCAACAATAAAATGCTAATGATTGATTCACATGGCTCCGCAGAGTGCTGTTAGTGGACCTATCCCCATCCCCATCCCCATTCCCAATGGACAGCCATGGATTTCATGGGGTTTGTCTAATTTGTGCATACCCAAACATTAAATTGGGCTTTTCGGTTGGGTTTCCGAGGCTTTTGCATTCGTAATTTTCTCTAAAGAAGCAAGTGGGAGATGATTGAGATGGGATATGGACTGGAAGTTACCATAGCTTTAATCAATGGAATTTCTCATTTACATGTTCTTCTTCTCATATGGAAAATGCAGATAATTTTAGTTGTAAATAGATATCAATACATATACAATTTATACTCTAGTTTATTGACATCGTTCTCGTGTAACACATTAACCCTTGGATCACCATTTTGGGATTACGAGGTATGAGGACAGGAAAAATCCCTGTGTTGGCCATTTACAATTGGTCCGCAGTGCGGAACCTAAGCTAATGATGACTGGCATGCACAAATGTACAAATCTTAATTATGCAAATCACGGTCGCGCATAAATTATGCAAATTATAATGAAATTCCTCATTGCCAGAGACAGAGCTAGAGCCGGGCTCGGACCCATAGCCATACCCAGAGGAGTGCCCGGGAAAAATGCCCATCTATATGTATATATTGATAAAAATGTGGCTATAAAATGAAAAAAAGAAAAACCGAAAATTGTACATTTCCTTCTATTTGGCGGGGTTGAAAGTCGAAATTATTCCGGTGACCGACCGGTCGAGGGGCAGTGAAGGTTTTTTAGGTAGGGTGGTGCCCGTAAATTGCAATGTAAATGCTGCATAAAATCTGAATTAGTCGTGGAACAATTACAATAAGGGAGAGAAGCGGCCAAAGAGAGAATCCTATAAAAAGAGCGGACCGAAAATAAAACTCTCACAATCAGGGATCAAATGGTGCATTGCTTAGAGGGGCTGTCCTGATTCCGGATTCTATTGAAAATAATGGCATACGGTTGCCGTTGCACCGAACATCTGACACAATTTTTTCCCCTACTTTAATGTATAGCGTAAGGCCACAGCAAAAGGAATATCAAAGAAAAAATGGAGAGGTTGCCAGCGCAAATTATTAAATTTACTATGCACGAAGTCATTTGGCACTTCGCTTTTACTCTCTATTTGTTCTATTCATAGGACTGTATGCAATTCAGGAAATTAGACTAAATGTCCTGCAAAGCTAGTGCACCCAAGTATACTCAATAGTTGACGGGGATATACGGGTGCTTAAACTAAGTTTTTGGTCCACGAAATTCGGTAGGGATGTTTTTGGAAGTAATCGTTTCAAAATCTAGAATCTCCAATCTCTAAAAACGAATGTGTTTTTCTGGGACAGTCTCAGATAGCTAATAGCTATCAAAAATCTTAAGTCGAGCTTGGACTCGTTGTCGATACTGTGCTAAATCCTCTACTTTACTTTACTTTATTAAGTTAGCATGGATTACTTATTTCTAACAAATTGTATCACTGGATTATCTTTTCAGGTATGACTTTATTAATAATGCTTCTGGTACTTATTGAACAAGTCAAGTCAAGCTCTGGCCTTTCGGCCACCCAGCCTAACCAAAGAAAAATGAGCTAAAACCATTACACCGATACTTAGAATACTCTTTTTGTTATTTAAGTATGAATAACTAGTTTCAAACTCAAGTATAAAAGTAGATTTAGGTGGATATCGGTAGTAATTATATGCAAATATAAAGCCTGTAAATTTTCAATATTTTAGGACGAGTTTTCTATAACCAAAATGTAATAGTCACACAAAATACCATTCGAATCTAAATGCTCTTTTTCCATGTAGCTAACATTGTGTGTATTAAGCAATACCTTTTCAAAGTGTATGAGAGAACCCACCAAAAATATTTGGCATGTGCCATTTATGGCATTGTTCCAACTTTGAACAATGCGATACCATAATTTCCAGGCAACTCTCTCGAACAAATACATGCATACATACATAGGACACCACACACACACACACACACACACACACAGATGCATCGAATGGCATGCAGATGTACTGTGATGTACGAGCTCTATGCCCTGTTCAACCCCCAAAGGCGATGGCAGCACAAACGATGGCTTTGTCGCTCTGCTTTCCTCCACATCGTCCGCATCATCATCATCATCATCAGAATAGGCAGCGGGGCAAGGATCAGCAGGCAGCGAGCATGTGATTAGATTCAGTTTCAATGGAAATTGAAATCACAGACAAAGGACCCGGCCCGAGCTCATGGACACCACGGGGATGAGAGGTAAGTGCCGAGCAGGGTTGAAAACCGGGACGGGGAGCGCAACGATAAAAACACTTGGACAACTAGAAAAAATTGGTATTTCAGAGAGCATTAAAAACTCTACTATGACTGTGACTCATACAGTTTCGGCATTGGATTGGGAGAGAGTATTGGGCGAGAGTATTGAGTGGGGGATGCTGCATTATAACGGGACAACCACTAAACGTCAACCACCAGCGTCAACACCGAGGCCCGACCCACATTTTTATATAGTGCTTTATAATATTCTCACACAGACGGAGATTAACACCCAGCCAAGGACCAGACCAGGACTACGGAATACGAACAACGGCAGAAATTTATAATCGACACCGACGGTACGTCAGCGCAGCGTTGGCCGAGACTGCGGCAGCATCAGGAGAGCAGGAGCTACAAACAAAACAAAACCAACAACAACAAAAAAAATCGGAAAATCGTTATGCGACTACTACTATAAACCACCACAAAATCGCGGTCGTCTGTTGTTGCCGGGAACCTCACACTCGCGCATCGCAGCGAATCGGAATCGGAATCCTCGGCTCTGACACGGCAGCCGCATTATAATTTTTTTTGCGGTGCGTACGCTTTTAATATATTTTCCCATTTTCTCTTCGGTCTGTGTGGTTAATTTAAATAAATAATCCTTAAAGTGTGCCATCAAGAGAACATTAAATAACAAGTGAAATAAACGGAGCAATAAATAATTGATTTTGTAGATGTTAAATATTTGTATTGGTTTATCTTAATGTGTGACATAATGCTTAAAATTTTAATTTTATATTGTTTAAAAAATGGCTGAATTATAACATTAAAACAAACCACAAATTGATTTCAATGTTTACTAAAGAGCGCTACGCCATCTAGAAGCAGCACTCGGAAGCTCTAGCTTGCACCAGAATGCCGCCAGGTGGCGCCACTGCCACTCAATTTTTATAGAGTTTCCACCCCATTTTCAGCAAATTAGCCACCTAGACAACTCTGCAAAACTGCTGTGACAGTCAGAGACTACCCTGAAACCATTACACATCCCTTCATCGGCACATATTTATCCTTTCAGATCTACAAAATCTATAAAAATGGATCCATCCAATCTACCATTTGGGTTTCCGGGCCTGCCAAACCACGGACACATGCCAATACCACCGACTGCTAACATGCTCGGCGGGGGACATCCTGCGCCAACGGCCAGTCCTCCCCAGAGTGTGCCCGGACGCCGCACGCCATTGGGGTCCGTGGGTCTAGGTGGCTTCTACGCACAAGGAATGGGCATCTCGCAGCAGAGCTTAGCACCAACGGATGAGAACAAGCCCGGACCGAGTGGACCGGACAAGACGTTGAGTCCAACAGCCGTTGCGATTGCTGCCATCAGTGGCGGCACCACCACAGTGGCCGTGCCGAGTGGCTCAAGTGGTGGACTCGGCGGCAGTGGTTCGAATGGTGGCAAGCAGAAGAATCGTCAAGGAAAGACTGTGCGGTTGAATATAAATGCCAGGGAGCGTAGACGAATGCACGATCTGAACGATGCCCTGGATGAGCTGAGGAGTGTGATTCCCTATGCCCACTCGCCGTCGGTGCGGAAGCTCTCGAAGATTGCCACCTTGCTGCTGGCCAAGAACTATATTCTCATGCAGCAGAATGCCCTCGAGGAGTTACGAAGGTAGAACTGGATTATGTCATATCTAAATTATGTTTCTAATGATTATTATACTTCTATTACAGACTTCTGGCCTATATACAGACCACTACCGGTTCTGCTCCTCTTGACTTGGGCGCCTTCCCGGCAGCTGCCAAGTTGCAGGCCCTACTCCAGGGACCACACCATGAGCCGCCCACCAGCAGCAGCAGTTAAATATATTTTTCCCATCTATATATTCTTCTGATAAGCAATCGATAAACAAGCAATACTTTTTAAGTCAATTCGAAAAAGCCAAAAAAATAATTCTAGTCAGAAAAAAAGAGGTTGAAAAGATTCCTGTCCAGAGCAGCCAAATGAGAATCTGTTGAGTGATATTTAGTTCTTTAATAAGCATTTCTTTTGTGCGCATTTATATGATGTGAATGTACGATTATAAGATGAATATTACCAAATAAAGTATTACGTATTTCATGATAATTAGAGAGAGTTGCAAAGCGGACTGATTATATTTTCCCCTGCACATTTTATCATGTAAAATTTATAGATGATATATTGGATTCTGATTCGATTTAAAAATCAGCAACTCATCAACTGGGTCCCACTTAAATCAGAAAATTCAAACACAACAATGACTATTTAAATACAATAATTTAATCTTAATTCCGTTTCAAGTCTTGACAAAACAATATAAACACACAAAATATATAAATACGAGTGTATACATAAATTCGCTGAATGACATGTGATGATAAAGCAAAAGTAATTTGCGGATTGCGAAAACTGGAAACTGATTAGCATTAGGAACGAAATAGAATACTCTTAAGAATTATATGTATATATATATATATGTGTATAGGAATGTGCGTAGATGGACGGCGGCATTGCGAGTGGATCGAAGAGGAAGTAATCTATGGATCGGCTGACATTATTCCGGTATGCCCAAGGAAAGCACTCTGTTGTTGTGGCTTGTTCGAAAGATGCGCTGCGCTTCAGGCAGCTCTCCAATTAGGAACTTACGCATTTGCTCAATGGCAGCCCGAGAATGTCCAGTGCCGTGGAATGCAATGGTGGCATCGCGTCCGGCATGATCCATTATCACATCGTCACCGCCAGGATGATCGCGCAGGAACAGCGTGACATCGTACACCCGATCGTAGATCACAATCCAGCAGTCATCGAAGCTGTCATGTTGGGCCACCTCCTCCAGCGTGATTTCTGGTAGATCTTCTACCTTGAGTAGTGTTTTTTCTGTGTCAACAACAACAGCATTCTTGCTAGCTTTGCCCAGTCCCAGCGGCACAATTCGCAGGGATTGTAAGAGGTTTGTCAATCCCGACGACATTTTTACACGTGAGAAATAAACTTTCACTTTTTTCCGGTACTATGATTTCTGCAATCGCTTTCGAACTCGTCAGAGCGGCTGAGTCGAGTCTGGGGGTGTCACTTTATGTTCTGCTTGGTCGGGTATGCTTTGGGTCCAGTTTCGTTGCGTCTTGGGTCGCCACTGGCAGTCGAGTGTCATTCATGCCAGCAATTGTAATCGTTTTATAAATGAAAACACGTGAATCAAGAGCTAATTCCGAACAGAAAGCTGATAAGACATCGTGATTGAACGAACCAATCGAAGATCCGACGATCCGATGATACGAAGCTCAATTGCTTTGAAAATCCGCTGCTTCGTTGATTTTTTAATGGCTTCGCTGATAATTTAATAGCTGAATATAAGCAAACGTGTTTTCATTAATACTCATGGGAGGGCCTCCAATTGCGATGATATTTTATGACAATAATTAGTATACATATAAGTCGATTTCGCATGCTGCGGGGCAGAACTTGTTCTCTTTAGAAAAAACCTGTTGATTGCCCAATATAGAGAGCATCTTCTTTATACTTACGTATACTTTCGATTATTTAAAAGGGAAACACTTATTGGTCTTATCAGTATTTCAATTGATTTATTGGCCCAAGTCAAACGTACATCGGTGCATCGGAAAACATTTAAATATAATCACATACAGGTTAATAGCTTCAAATCTGTAATATTCTTGAACATAATAAGGATATACTCAAAAGCAAAGCAAGCAACAACAAAATCACATAGCTAGTTCAATGGGAGGCTTGTTCCCATTTAAGTTAAAATGGGAACAGCGATAATTATTTCTACATTATCGCTGACTAAAACTTTGAACTTGAAAACGCTGGGTTTTGAATTTGGAAATAATGCCACGCTTTTGAACTATTTGCTCTATCTGCGAGCTTTTTCTTACAATCAGAAGTTATAAAATCTCAGATCTGATGAAATTAATTCATTAATTTCTACAAAAGCCAGACATGCACACACATCAAAAATACCAAAGTAGACTGAAAATTCCCCACTACGCCATAGACACGTAACTAATTATAGAGTTTTACACAACAAAAATATTATTCACCGATGGAAAACGTCAGAGAAATCTCTTATTTCGAATGAGGTCAAGTTGCGATGCTCGGTTTTGGTAATCCAATAAGTCAGTGTTATCTTGTTCAATGTCCCACCATGTTAACCACAAAAAATTTTTAATGGAAGAGTTTACTCGATGGAGAACTTGGCTAAGCCACTTGATTTTGACTTTGAGGTCAGCCCTCAGTTGTATCAAATATCGTTTGGAACAAAGAGAATTAATTAGTATGTGATCAAAAATCGCATTTTATATTTTTTTCAATTTTAGTTTGCGATTACGATTGCTCCAATTTTGAAGTCCATGGACATTATAAGTTAAAATGAATATAGAGAAAACAGCATCCTGTCTCATAAGACCTATCTTGAAAAAACAGACATTCTAACTTTAACTGGCTATTTCACAGGGCAGTGTCACTTAAGATAGAAATTTAAAAAAATATGTACACATTGTGTACAGGAAACATCGGGACACATGCTTTGTGAATGTCCTGCACTATGCAGGATATGTAAACATTTTTTGGGTGAAACCGTGTTATGGCAATAATACTTACCAAAGTACTTAACTTTATTAAAAGCCTAAACATACATACACATATATTCTACATAATCCTACAGGTCGGTACAAAAGAGGAACTCATGATCTTGTAATAAATTGTAAAAAAAGATAAATCAAATGTGCCTTGAACTAGATAGATACATTTCAATTGCAGTTTAAACTAGCTTTAGAGAAAATATGGCATATAGTTTCGAGCTCTAGTCGAATACAGAATTGAAAAATTTCTCGTAAAAAATATTTTTGATGTTACAATTTTTTGTTTGTAACCTTTTTTGTTTTCTGTAAAAATTGTTTGTGATTTTTGGTTTTACTTTATTTTTCTTATCTGTAAAAACATGGGTTGTGCAAAAAAAAAATACGCTCCCCAGCATGTTGGTCGTGTCACAAAGAACGGTTATTTGAATTTCCTGCGCGATTATAAAAAGAAGCACTGCGGCTTGTCTCCTCGCCAGATGGTTAGCAAAGGTGCAAAGGCATGGAATGGACTAACCTGCAAGCAAAAGGACCGCTATCGTAAAATGGGCTGCAAAAAGTCTCGACGACCCAAGAAAGGTATGTACAAGTGTATTAGTTAATTTTTAGTTGACTAAAAACATCGAATCCATTTCTTAGCTGGCTGCAAGAGAAAGCATCACTAACCCCGAGTGTAACAAAAGAAAACAGTGATAAATTAAAGCTATAGCTGAGTGAAAGTGGTCAGAAGAAACCTGAGTGACAGCCTAGAAAACATAATTACTGATTTGACAAAATTTGCTGAGCGCATTGATTCGGAAATTGGAATAGAATGCATTGGAATTCAAAATGGTTTTACGGTCACTTATATTCGTTGATTTTGCGGTAACTAAAGCCACCGAGAAGAAAACGACAATAGTCACCGAAGGTAAAGGAAGATTGAGCGCCGGTAGAGAGGACGGCCTTACGTCCCGAAGCATCGACTTCAACGCGAATTTTGTCGACCATGATGGTGCGGTCGGCGAGTAATGAGCGGTCAAACAAGACGACTGGTTGTTTGGTGGAAAGCACAACAGTCTTAGCGATAGCCACCTGTTTGGAGATGGTAACCTCGACAAATTTCTCGATTTGAGACATGATGGAATTATATGTCTGTGTCGTGTCGCGATGGGTCGAAGTTAAGAACGAAGTGACCTTCACAGTTATAAAGCTGGTGGAATTCCTTCGGATTGTCGACAAGATACAAGATTGAATCGATGAGTAAATGATGGTGGGCATACTCCGTCTTATACCTCTCGGTGATGGCGAAAGTAATTTCTAAAAATACTCAGATTTAATTCTCAAAAGTAAAAGCGATTGTCTAATTCCGATATGGGGTTTGCCGAGAGGTGACAGCTGTGGCTTTCAAAAAATCGTTCGTGAGAAGAGACTCCACTGATTAGTTGAATATTTTCTGATATCCATATAGCTGGTGGGTACAAAATGCTATATAAATTATTTTAAACTAAATTTATTAAACTAATAATTATATTAATAACAATAACTAATTTAATCAAGTTATCCAACATTCCTTCCTAGGTTCAATTTATGCCCATACTCTGATTAAATTTCCAACGGATTTCATTTTTGGGATGCAGGAAATTCAATCTGCATTTGTAAAATTTTCCCCAATGTATATGTGGCTCTTATCTACGAGTACGTATGAAGACATCAAGTGTGTAAGTGTAATTTTTGACGACCGACAAAACAGAAAATTTTCAACAGCACACCAACAAAGCTGTTGCAGCACGTTAATAACAATAGCACCCAGTGGATAAATCAATAAATGAATACAACTTTTAGCTTGAAAAAGTATAGTTTTGAATTTGAAAATAATGCCACGCTTTTGAACTATTTGAAATATCTGCGAGCATTTTTTATACAATCGGAATTTATAAAACCTCAGAGCTGATAATATTAATCTGCCAGTTTTTGCAAAAGCCAGACAGGCACACACATCAAAAATTCCCACCTCGCCACAGACACGAATATTATTATTACCAATGAAAACGTCACAGAAATCTCTAATTTAGAATGAGGTTAAGTTGCGATACTCGGTTTTGGTAATTCAATATGTCAGTGTTATCTGGTTCAATGTCCCGCCATGTAACCGCACAAAATTTGTAACCGAGAAGTGTTACTTGATGGAGAACTAGGCCAAGCCCATTGACTTTGACTTTGAGGTCAGGCCTCAGTCGAATGAAATATCGTTTGGAACAAGCATGAGAACGATGAGATTTCGGTAAGAATCTAAGCTGAATATGAGCCCCATTTTTGGGGTTATCATTCAAGAACTGTGCGTCAGATTTTCGTTAAGCGACGATGTCATGTCCCCAACAAATGATGGGGCGTCACAATCAGACTATAGACTATTAATAAAGATTACTATAAGGTTAAAGGTGTTCTTTAGATTTTTTCTAAATTGCTTTGAGTTTATTACGTTTTTGCTTGCTTTCAATTTCAAGTCCATGGACCTGATAAGTTATAGCGAATATAGTCTAGAAAATGAAAATATTCAAACAACCTTTCAAGTCCATGGACATCGAAAATAATTTCGCTGTCTATGCGTATCTCAGATTTAATTAAATAAAAAAGTAAATTTGCTAAATTATTGTGAATTTAAAATTTGAAAGCAGTTTCAGAAGCAAAGCCAAACTTGATTGTTTATACATATGAGTGCGATAAATATTATTATTAAGCACAGAGGAATGATATGCTCTACAATTTATTTGCAATGTGGCAACGTTGAGTAAAGAAAGCTTTCCTAAGCGCGACGCTTTTATCCATGCAATGCACTTCCCATTGAGCGGGCTTTCCCAAATGTGCCAGCTGTTGCTTTAGCAGAGCTTCCATGTTGAAGGGATTGTCCACCGATTAGATGAAAATTTCGATGGTTCAATAATGCCGGTCCTTACTAAATGCTATAGAATATATTTTACCTAACTATTTTAATCTAATCATCCAAAAATTCATGTATAGTTAAATTCAGCGACTAAAATTAAATTCAAATTGCCAACGGATTTCAGCTTTGGAATGCGGGAGTTTCCATCTTCATTTGTAAAAGTTCCCCCAAAGTATCTGTGTGGCTTTCACCCAAGTGTGTATGTTTGTGTGTGTGTGTGATAAAAATGACATCGAAGGAACTGCGTGTAATTTTTGGCGACCGACAAAACAGTCGAGTTTTAGCAACGCACCGACGAAGTTGTTAAGGCGCGTGAGTTCAAAACGTACACAGTGGATATATTGTTTAAAATCATTTATCAACCGTGCAAAAACGTGGGTATTCAATCAAAAATTAATGAACGGCCAACTAATAAGGAAATTGTTTTCGTAAATTAATCAGGAGCCCAAAAGAACGGTCGGTATGCCCCTAACTGCGTATCGTATAGAGCATATTGCGCATTCGCCACGTTGAACGAACAGGATTTTGGAAACATATTGTTGCGGAAAATGTATTAAACGGAAAATAAGAATTTAGATTACATTTTTTGCACGGCTTATGTTCGGACTTTGTGTCATCGTTTTGTAAATAGTCAACGAATATGTAGATGCCATCTGCTGTTTTTCATTTGCATACAAAATTGGAGTTAAATTCCGATTTGAATTCGAATTACAAACGGTTGAAGCAGTAACTGTTTAATATTGAATGTTTAGTTTTATTGCCATGCAGTTGTCTAAAGTTTGCTTTTGTTGAACAAGTGTAATTGAATCTTTTTGGGAAAATTAAATTGCTTTTCCAGCGACTGGTGAAAGTTTAACTGAAAAAGTTTAGTTGTGAAAGTTAACAACAGCATGTTATGTGGAAAATTCAAGCAAAAGGTTCAACATTCAGTGTCCTGCATTGATGGATAGGTGTAGAATTACCACAGAAGCATCACTTCAAAGGGAATGTTGTTAGAACAAAGCTCTTCTTCAATGGGAATTGGAAACGAAGCCAAAAAGCATTCATTGGTCACTGATTTTTTTCAATTTAGTAATCGAACTTTAGGATATATAAATTTACAATTTCTGATACAAGTTTTTTCTTAAAATATGAATATTTACGGTAAATGGCGATTGCCTTTAAAACACACACTTTTCGGTATGGCTTTTGGATATTTTAACGGTTACCTTTATGTTTTTGTTTCCACAATTTTATATACATCTCGGTTTTTTTTAACACCTTTTTCGGTTTTTGAGCACCTTCTTTTTATACATTTCACTTTATTTAAGCACACACTTCACACAGACTTTTCTGCTGATTACAGATTAGCCTGATTGCACTGCTTATACGACCCGTGCGTTGCGGTGTGCATTCCGTCTGATAAGTTCCTCAAAGCCAACGTATTTTAATTAAATTACTCTTCAGCTTGATCCTGAATTTGGATCCCAGCATATGCTGGCTTGCTCGTTGGGTTTGTGTCTGCTTTCAGTTAAGACTTTGCATTTTCCTGGTAGTATTTCTGAAAATCCAGCAAAGACTTCCGTCGAGAAATTATTGTGCCAGAGGCTGTTTAACCTGGTGAAACTTTGAGCCACTCAAACACGAGTATGTCCTTGAAACACACACGTATGTTCATGGCCCTGACCCTCACCTCACTCTTACACCTCGACCTAGACCTCGAGCTCTTTTTCGACCTTCCTCTAACGTTCTGATGCCCCCAAACATATTGCGTGCCAGTCAGTCAACAGGCTGCATTTAAGAAGTGCATACATTACAGGTCACAGCCAACATCCATGAATATTTATCACGTGTCCAAAGATTAATGCATTTTTAATGCAAAAACCGACCACAAAACCCCAAGATAGACGGCTTGAGAATGCCCATAAAGAAGCCAAGCAGCCATGTTTGCTAACTTGTTGAGTTATTGGCAGGGCTTCGTCCTCAGGCAGGACTAGAGAGTGGGGACGGGGGGCCCTCAGAGAGTGGCTCGATGGGCGAGGGGGTCCCCGAGTGTGGTGGGTGTTGTGTGTGCTTGAGGCTTTGAGTGTAGGCCAAGGGTTTGCTCTCTTTTGTTCCACGAACAAGTATTAATATCACACTTATTATTTCCGTTTCAGCTTGTTCAGCCGCTTGTATCTTGGGTATTTTTTGCTTTTTAATGAGCATTTTATTGTTTATTTTTACGCTCAGCTCTTGGGCCCATAACTTTGGGTCACTTTATTAAATTGCTGTTTATCTTGCTGTCGCATTTTTCCACTCTCTTGTATTTTATTTTCAATATTTGCAGTCCCCAAAGTTCGTATATTCCGTCCCCATTCCCGTGGCTTAATGGCCTGTGGTAAAAGGACATATGGCTGTTGATTTTAATGGAACATTTTATTCTCATGTAGGATGTCTGTTTCAGGGCTGCTCAGGACAGGATGTTAATCGCATGCAGGCATGGGAGTTCTGGGATTCTTGGAGAAGGTCTATTCCAGGAAACTTTGTGAAAGGAAATGCCATGCAATATATTTCCTTGGAAATTGTTTTTGTTGATTAGAAAACTTGTTGACATTTTGTTTTGAAGGACATTTCAATAGTAGCTCTGAATAGCCCTTTCAGCTTTTCGCTAAAGCCTTAAACATAATCCATCATTCCTGTAGCCCATAAATAATGAATATTGATGGCTAATTAGGCCGTGATGGGGGGACAGACTCCAATTTGCCAGGCTCTGATCCCATTGACAGCCATTCATGGTGGATAATCAACTCGAATAATAAAACAAGTGAGAGTCGTGAGAGAATGAATAAAACAAGTGAGAGTCGATGAGTGGAGTTACTCGACAGGGAGATGCTCAGTATTGAATGTCCTGATAGTCAACCTCGCATAAGCATTTGTTTTCCATACTCTTGAGATCAATTTCAATGAATACTATCAAAATGCAGTCTAAACTTTATTACAAATTGGAGATTTTACTCGATTTAAGTATCCCGAGCTGTTATTAAGTCCGACGGATATAGATCTATACTTATGGACATTGCCTCATATTCTTAAAAAGGCAAAACACCTACCTTATTTTAATGAATATAATATACTCAAAAGTACCCTATAAATACCGGAGAAGACAGTCCCAGATGACACACGATAATGATGTTGTTGACGTGGACAGACCAGCACCTCCACTGTGTCATTCCAGCGGGTATAACAACTGGCTGTTGGCAGATTATTGACGGAACCGACCCTGGTATGACTTTGTTGTGCTCTCCGTGACCGAGTGAGCATTTCTGAACTCCTGGAGGCCACCTACCCATCATACTACCCATCGCCTGCTTATGATGGGCAAGCTGCTGCTGCTGCTTGTTTATGCACACAGAAGGTTGCCCTCTCTAAATAACAGGGGGAGACGCAGCTGCAGTTAATGGATAAGCTAAAGCTAAAGCCAACAACTCTACCTCCCCAACAGCTGGGAAAGGTACAAATACGGATTCCTGCTGCGAAAGGTATGGCCAAGGATTCCTGGGGAGGCAGCCTTCGCAACGTTACACCTACACACACAGTTGGCACAGTTTTATTAAAGCATTCTTTCCGCTGAAAAGAGCAGAAGTGGAACTAGTCTGCTATCCCGGATGCTTTTGTCCGAGCGACAGCCAACACGCGCATCCACATGGACCCGTGGCCATAATCTAATTACTGTCCCAGACCAGAAAACACGTACCACCTGAGGAAACAGACTATGAACCAAGAGAGCCTTGGTCACAAAATGCTTTTTTAATACACTGCATCCGAGTGGGGCACAGTTCTGGGAAGAAGCTCAGAGCTCCACACATTTCCAAGAGGAAGCTCGGAGAGTGGGAGTCTGGCACATATCTGAGAGGGTAGACAAAGGCAGGGAAAAATTGTTTCCGGATCTGAAATATGATAGTAGTGTTTTACTTAATTAATGGGCAGCAGCGTACTCAAACAGGTTTACCAGGAAAGAGGAAAATGCTCTCAGATGTTGTGTAGTTGTAGCATGAAGAAAATACATTTTCATTGAATTTAATTAAAGGGGATGCAAGATAATAAAATGAAATTTATACAGAATTATTAGAGAATTATTATTCTATTATTATTATTCTAGGGAAAACATTAATTTGTAAAAAAAAACACTTCGAATTAAATTCAAGTTTTTTTTCAGAAATAAAAGCTGTGTAGCTATTTTTTAGTTATCTATATTTTCAATCATTTTTTATTGCCCAACTACTGACCCATAAAGATTACAGGGTATATGCCACAGACTGACAATTGCAACTGTCCGCTCTCCTCCCGTCCATCCGACACAGCAGGGCGTGTATCTGTCGCAGAACTGTGGGGGCAATTTAGGGCATTCTTTGGCTTTCAGAGCCACAAAACACTTCATTAGACTAATGAACATAATTTGCCATAATTGTGCAATTTGATGGCGCTGCGAGCGCTGGGAAAAAGATACAATTTTAAAGAAGAGAAGAGCAGCCCCTAAAGTAAATATCTATGATGAAATCGTTGGCTAAAGTTGCAAGAAATCACGGGAGTGGGCCGAGAACGGAACAGCCAATGAACCATGCGGTTGATTTTATCGATTAGATAAACTTAATTTTAGTCGCTCTGTCAACATATTACGGCCTGGACTTGCGGACAGCTGGCCCACGACTGGGACGGCGACTGCGACTTTGGCCCCCCGAATGGCCTTGACTTTGCACACATTAGCGGAAGTAGTGCGACTCTTATCTGGGGGCTCGGGCGAAAAGTGAAAATGTGTCCGATAAAAGCCAGAAAAATGATTTACAAAGCCAGCGCTCACTCAACCAACAAGCAAAACCATCGCGGCAGCCAGCCATTCGGCCAAAGGGCTGAAGCGCCGAGCGGTTACTGTATTAAAATTTATGACAATGGCTATAAATCCCTATACACATATATAATATATAATAAATATGACAGAAACAGATGAAAGCTCGAAAATTCATTTAAACACACGGCCGCATATGTGTCGGGCAAAAACATTTTGTAGCGAGAGAGTGTCAAGCGAGAAACAGGAAAAGTAAATTAAATTTTTGCAAACGGGGAAACTGTGTATGCCCTTTTCTAATTTACCGCGAGATATTAAGAACATATTAATTATTTTCAATGCCATTTGTATGGAACATAAAGGTTATTTATTATAAAATCTGATTAATTTTGTAGGTATATTTTTTTAAACCATAAAAATGTTGGGATTACCAAAACACAAATTTTCACTTTTTCTATGCCTTAGGCTAAAATGGAATTCTAATTCAGAAAGATTATTTTAAGCCATAGCAAAAAGCAATCAAAAATATTTTCAATCGGCAGAAAAAGAAATAAATGTCCCAGGGCTTACCCAATAATTTAAGTACTCGTAGTTGTCCGATCGGAGAAAAATTGTAAAGTATTCTTTGGATCAATACAAATATCCCAAGCTTAAAATGCTGTGCCTATTCTTAAAATGTAAAGCACCCTCCGTAAGAGTATACATATTGTTGGAGCACCAACAGGACCCCAACACTGACTGACTGACTGGCATGGCAGCTCTGTGATCCGCCCAATTTGACATTGATTGGGTTATGTGTGATTTACATGGCCGTGGGGATGCTCATACTCGTACTCCCTCCTCCATTGTGTTGGAGGAGCAACAGTGAAAGCAAAAAAAAAGGTGACATCGGTTCAATGGCATTTTGTGATATTTCCCAGCGGATTTTTGAGGCATTAACGGACAAATAGATTCCGAATTTCAATGGCAACATAATGTACTCAAGTGAGATTCCCGCGCGTAAATGTGCTGCATTTTCCATTCAATTTATGGGGCAACATCCTTTAAATATCAACTTATCGCGGTAGACTGTCAGAGTTTAAATTTCAACTAATTTCATAAATTACTTTCGGTGCCAGCAGCAGCCAGCTCCAACCCAAGATGAGACAAAAACATTCAGTCATTAATTTGCTGCGCCCCAATTCCCAGGCTCACACATAAGGGAGCAGGGCACATAAATCATTCCGCAGAGATTTTAGAGAAGGAAAAGCCCATACCTCTGGGAAAGTCGGGGTCCAGCCCACATACAACACATTTAATGCAATTGCCATTAAGGAAAGGGAAACCCGAAAACAAAAGTTACCCGTAAATAAATAATAAACTCAGAACAAATTTACAGAAATTGCCAGGGAAAGGAGTTGTATTGGGGCTTGTGTTAGAGAAATGAGATGTAATGGAGGCTCTGTGGGAGAGACAGGAGCTGTATTTGGGTCTGTGGGCTTCAAAAGTTTGGGAAAAATGTAGGAATCATCTAAAGGTGGCTTCGAACTTAGATTGAAATGAATGTAAACCTCCTCCTCTCCCTACATATACTAATTAATTAACAATTCGGTTATACATTTTGCAGCTGCTTAAACAGACGTCACACCCATCTCTTTTATGCAATTCTTTAAACTTCCGTGTACAGGGTCTTGAGGATTTGTGGGATTGTGTGGTTGGTTGCGGGGTCACCTGGCAGTTTGCTCAGCTAATTGCGGACTAAACCGAGGCCGTGGCGCCTTTATGGCAATTTTGTGGCTGCGGTTGAACAAAGGCCAGACCTGGCCTTCATTTGCCTTAGCTTCTCTTCTCCTTTTGATACTAGAGGACTGGAAAAACGTTCCTTCTTTTGGTTGCTAGGGGACTGGGAAAACTGTCAGCACGTGCCTGTGGCCAGGATTTTGCAGTGCCACCTTAAGCCGCTCAATTAATAACCCCAGGCCAACCCAGGCATGGTCTCTGGTTAAGATGAATGCCGTAGGAATGGGATTGCAGCTTTGATTTATTTATGAGGCTCATCCCATAGTCCCGTAGTCATCCCATAGTCCTGACTTGCTAATGAATGTTTTATGGTTAGTTTGGGTGTCATTAGACGCTGTCGATGTCGGGTCATGAGAAGTAATTGAACCACGTTTTTACGCCAGTCAGTAAACACTAAACAATGTGGTCTACACACATACGAGATGATCCATTTATTTGTCTCCCTTATCTCTTGCAGTTACAGCCATGGACATTGTCATACGTGAGGAGGATATTTCCCTAGCCCAAATCGGTGTATACGCTTCGGTATCTTTTTTGGTGGTGTCTGCTGTGGGCGCAGCACTTTATACCACCTGCTCGAAGCGGTATCGTCTCAACTGGTTTGAGCAGAATCTACTGGAATCAGCCAACGAAAAGGATGAAGATCAACAGAGGTAGTTGCCAGAATTCACATCATAATCAGTTACATATTAAGTGAATATATTTCTACAGCAGGGAAGCCTTGGTTGCTGGTGCCGCTGGCTATAATGTCGACAACCTCAATGAGTGCTCGCGCGGCAATCTCAGTCCCACTTCCCTAAAGAACGATGAGAATGATCCGGCTTTCTGGGTGCCCGCTTCGGTAACTTCCACAGCTGCTATCCAACAACAAGTATCGAACACCACAGAGGAGTCGGCACCACCAACACCTACTTCACCCACTGGCAGTCTCAAGTCCAACACCCTATCCCTCTGCTCCACTACATCCGTGCCAATCGCCCGATCGGACAAACATGTCGTCCTGGCCATGCATCCCACTCGCCCCAGAGTCTCTTCCATGAATGCAAAATTGGATCACACAAAAATCGATATGACTCTGTACAGAAGCGTAAGTCAAGTGGAATTCTTTATTTCTCAGATATCTCTATAATTTTTTTAAAATTCATTTGAATAGCACACTCAACCAAAGACCTTGGACCCCGCTCCAGCCATTGAAGTGCGTGGGAATTTGCATGTTGGAATTAGCTACGATCCAGTTGGTGGTCTTCTAAATGTGCGATTGCTAGAGGCTCAGAATCTACAGCCAAGACAATTCAGTGGCACTGCGGATCCTTATGCCAAGGTCCGACTGTTGCCCGACAAAAAGAACTTTTGGCAGACGCGTATTCACAAGAAGACCTTGAATCCAGGTACGCCATGTTATGCATTTTTTATTTGATCAATTTAATTAAACCCCATTCATCGTTTCAGTTTTCGACGAGCACTTTGTCTTTGAGGTTGCCGCTGGTGTCATCGACAAGCGAACTGTGGAGATTCTGCTGTATGACTTTGATGCCTACTCGCGACACGTGTGCATTGGCGGATCGAAGCTTCATTTGGCCAACTTGGATCTGAGCGAACAACTGCAGCTATGGACTCCCTTGAGCTCCGCTTCGGCCCAGGACATGAAAGTGGATTTGGGAGATATAATGGTGTCCCTGGCATACCTTCCCTCAGCCGAACGTCTGATGGTGGTACTGATCAAGGCCAGAAATCTACGGATTGTCGATGATGCAAGGAACTCTTCCGATCCGTATGTCAAAGTGACTCTTCTGGGACCGGTGGGAAAGAAAATGAAGAAACGCAAGACTGGAGTCCAGCGGAGCACCGTCAATCCTGTATACAACGAGGCCTTGGCATTTGATGTCAACAAGGAAACGCTGAAGAACTGTGTGCTCGAGTTTACTGTCGTCCATGATGGTCTTTTGGGTATGTGGAACATATTTTTTGATCATCATTTTCTCATGTAATCGTTGATTTTCCTACAGGATCGAGTGAAATCTTGGGTCGCACTCTCATTGGCAACTCCTCCGAGGTGCGCACTGAGGAGAAGATCTTCTTTGAGGAGATGTTTCGTGCCAAAAATGCCACCGCTCAATGGGTGCCACTCCAAGAGCCGGTCACAAATTTGGCCAATGCAGCCAAGTCCACAACAAACAAGAATTAGCTTCCACAGCTTGGTTTGTGTCTGGGATGAGGTCGAACTTGCTGGATTTTTCCCAATTGAAGGCAAATCGTACATGAATATTACTCGGTATCTACATAGCTTTCGTGTAAAGTGTCAAGTTCACGTAAAATTAACATTATGTGGGCATATCCAGCCAATGAAATCTTTTATATTTTCAATCTAAATCGGACCGACTCTAAAAACATACAAAATTTAATTCATTTTATACTGAAATTACAAAAAACCAGTCAAAATTGTAAAGGTGGGCCACTAAGGAAGGTAAAAGTAAAGTAAATGAAGACAAAAAAAAGGGAAAAATATTTTTAAATCTTTTTTAAAAATTAACAATCAAACTTGGAAATAAAAGGAACTGCAGGGATACGTTTTAAGAAGGATGTCTGAAGCGAAAGAGTGTCAAATAATATTTTCCAAAATATAAACAAAACAAATCAAATACTTTGTGCTTTCCAATGGTATCAATTAATCAATATACATACATATATACATAAACTATATACTAATAATCTATTTAAATATTTATGAAAAATTGTCTATTATATACACATACCAATTTCTTAGAGGAATGGAAAGCTTTTTTGGATTTAATCATTTTCTAGGAGTTGGTTTCAGGGCAAAGTGGGCACAAAGTTGTTGATAGTGAAAGCTTAAATATGATTTTGAATGCAAATATGTATATGTGTCTGTCTATTGGAGATATATATATTCATCCTAAAAATATATATTCTTATATCTATTGTAGCGAAAATCTATGGTATATTTGAAATGATATCCGATTAATATAGTCAATATAATAGCTTTAGTTTTAAAGCACTATGTATTCCATATTCGTGTATGTACTATCTATTGGAAATAAAACACTTGAAAATATCTTAGATTTAAAGTATGCATACAAGTTTTTTCTTGATTAATATTTTATTTTGCGAATTGGATTATTGGGATTTATAGGTAGAGGGAGAAGAAAATTGTAAATCTCTACCAACAAACTACATATCCAAATTATTTAGCCTTCTAACACGTAAGAGTGTATGGAGGCACTTATTAATTTTACTCACATCATTTAAATTTGTTTTCTGTTAATAAAAAACACAACATTACTCATTACATTAATAACATTACATTAATAACAAACGATTAACAGAAAAAAAATATTCAGATTATGAAAATATTCTTATTTTTTTCGTGGGTAATATAATAAGTGCCAGGTAATTCAGACTTAGAGGGTTAAAAGTTGATCTTAGATGGTAATGAAGGTTCAGACGTATTTTGAGAGGTAGGAAAAAACTCTACAAACTGCAATATGCACAAGTTGTGATCGAAATTTAGAAATTTTCCATACGACTTCTATTAGAAGTAAATTCTACTCCTGTTACTATATTTATTATATTATCATCCACCTTCTTTTGGATTATGAACTATCTCGTGTTCAGGAAACAAAAGATTCTGCAAATAGTTTAATAACAAAATATAGGATGAATATAGGAAACGAATAACGGATATATAAGTTTATATACCTAATCAATATTTATACAAACCCCTAGGCTTAAGGCCTTAGGCACTAATTTACTAAATAAGTTACCCATCGTCCTGGGACTCCATCCACCCCCATCAGTTAATCAATGACCAACTATCGACCTAGAAAATATATTAGATATGAAGAACATTGCTGGGCTAAATTTTAACTTTGAAGCAGACTTGGAAAAGCCGAAACAATGGGAAAAGGCAACTAAATAGTTTAACTAACCCGACGGTGTGGTTTTACAAGTATGAGTATCAATGAATTGAATTGAATCGAGCAAGCTATCGGTCGGTTGGTCAGTTTGCTTTGCAGTCGTTATCCCGGGTCAGTACATAATGTGCCCATATACTCGTACTTTGTTGAAATTCCATGAGAACGCTTCCGGTGAGAAACCCATGCCCCATGCCCCTCTGTGGCGCCACACCAGCTCTTGGCTCTTGGCAATAGTTCAAAGTTGGCTTTGCAGCTTTGCCTCATTCTTGGTGTCGTGGCAACCGGCTATTTACCTCGACGCTGTATCTCCCCCGCAAATTGAATGAAAGCACATTTTGATTGAAAAGGAAAGGAATAGACAGATTCACCCATTTGCCGCCCTGCGGCGTCTCCAGCACCTCTTGCATGGCTGCTTAAACAGCCAATGTAGCGATTCCCGTCGCGTCGGTCCTCTCCCTTTCGGATTTATCAGTGAATGTTGGAAAATTAGTTAACGGGTTTGCGGTAAAGTTTTTTCTAACCCAAACTTGGTCAACAAGTTGGCTCACAGAAAATATTTAAGACCTTATAAAAGAAGATTAGGAAAAGGGCCAATCGATGGGAATTCTTTTGGTTTCGACCAAGGCATTGAATGGCAAATCGGGCAAAACCTCAAGCATTTTAAGTTTTAAATTAATTTAAGGATCTAAAGGTTGGAAAAGGAAAATCTTAAGCGCACTTAAATTTAAGGTGTAGGGACTTCTTTCTTATCTGTGAAATATATGGAACTTTCAGAAGTTTTTTACCCACTTTGTAGAAATATTCCTGAGACATGAAAGTACATGTGGGAGTGCCATAATAGATTCAATTTACAGCTTGTTTGATTTTACAATTATTTGCGTTTTGTATTCCAAACTGCTTTTCAACAAATTTTTCCCTCCATCGAAGATTTTATAAGCGATTCTGGAGCAGCAGCAGTAGTAGCAGTTTAACAATTTTTCACCGATAATCATTTGCATCAAAGTCAGATGGCAATAAACTGGAAATGCAACAACGAATGAATTCCAATTTTAATTTTGTCACACACTCTCTCTCATTCTCTCTCTCTCTCTCTCTATATCTCTCACTGTCTGCCAATTTTGTGCAATGATTGTGCATCATCTCTCTTTTATTGTCATTGCTATGGGTTCACCCCCACATTTTCCTTTGCTCAGACGAATGTCTGCACTTTTCTTTTGGGTACTGGACATCTTTTCCCCTTTTTTTCTTTCGGTTTCTGGACAGTTTCAAAAGCTTGTCAGCGGAAAACGTAAACTAACGGCATTTTCGTTTTCTTATTTACACAATCAATTTTGTGCTTTTGTGATACGGAAAGAGGAGCAAGTATTACTAGCACTAGCAGTATTCGTACACATCCTTCCAGCAATGGGATATTGCGTATATACATACATATATGTACGTTAACACATCCTTTTTATCACTCTCGTGTGACATTCTTTTATACCCTTTGGGAAGATGCAAAAATTATCCCAATCTTTGTGGAGGTACTTCAGCATTGTAAACGCAATAATTCAATGATTTTTGGGTGAAATATGGCCTATGAGTATAAACATTGGTTCTGCGAGTAGATCTTGTTTAGATGCTATTTTAAAAACCCTGCAATTAAAGCAAGTAAATTATGCCCTTTCTCATCAGAGTGAGGAGAAAAGGATGTCGATTTAGCTCAACTTTTTGCGGTAAATTCGCACAAATCAAAACAATCCCTCATTCAACTTATATTGGTATCATACGCACTATTTTTCCGGCCTAGCAAGAGAATTCTTTCTGACAACTAAAACTAAAATTCCATGTTCGATCCATTTGAAAGAGTATTAACTGCCTCGGTGCGCCTCGATGCTCCTCCAATTTCTTATTTTCGGGAGTTTTCTGCTCCTGTGTCCTGTATCGTTGAGTCGCACCAGCAGTGGCGATGGCTGTTGTGGCAGCTTCTGCCATTGGTGCCGCGAGGGAAATTGTCGTCAAAGCGGAAAAAATGTCACATTGTTGTTTTAGCCATCATGGAGTTGCAGATTGGCGGGGATGGGGATGTGGATGTGGAGTAGCTCCACACGTTGCATGCATGTATGTTGCAGTGGCAGTAGCAGCTCCAAAAGGAGCAATGGTTCCAGTTACCCCGTTTCATTTCGCTTTTCTTTTCAGTCTACCCTTTCTACTTTCGCGGATACTGCTCTCCTTTTCTTCGTCTCTCACTCTCTTTCAAGCACTCTTTCTTCCCTCTCTTTCTATACCTCTTTGCCCCTTCTCTTTCTATTTTAGGTTTCTTTTGATGTTGACCGCAATCGCTGTCTCGTTTCGCTGGTGGATGCTCGCTTTTTGGGTTGCTTTTTTTTTATTGTTTATGCAACTGTCAGCAGTTTTCCTTTCCAAGTTCCATTCCCAATTCTCCCTCCGGCTTTTCCCCGGCTTTCCACATTTGTCCATGTGTGCCCCACTGTCTGGAACACTCTCCCTATCCACCTCTCTGTGTAGGTGTTTGCTTTGTATCTGTATCTCTATGCGATTTCATATTTGCTGTCATTTCGAATTGTTTCAATGACTTTTGACAGCCAGCAGATTAGCTTGGTGACGCCTCCTTTTGCCAGGATGGCGGCACGAAGCAACTTTTGGGGCATTGTCCACTGTCGAGGGAAATCAGAGGTGTATGTTTTGATCAGTGGCCATTTCCCATCATTTTCCACCCCAACCGTTTTCAAAGTGACAAAGTTTTGCCAAATATTGATTCCATTGTTATTTACTTTAAAATAGTTTGGGAATTATTTCTGCTTTATTGAAATTGAGTGGCATTTTAGTGGTATTTTATTTATTCATCGTTCGTTCTTATAGATGGTCCTATTCCTTTTGGGGGATAATTTGGGAGAAATTTAAAAGTTTTCTTTAGCTATAATTTAGCCAAGTCTCTCACGGTAGATAAGGGGAACGTTTTCCAACCTTTTCCCAAAAGAAGTTTGGCATATAGACGTAAAACCAAGTGTTGTAATATTGGCATTTTATGGCCTGTAGTCTAAAATAGTCTTCTGAAATAATATGCAATATGCAATTAGAGACAAAAATAAATTATAGCCCAATTTAAAAATTAGATGAAGCATTAAAAAAATAAAAATTTTTAAAACATTCCCGCGATCATGCCAGTAAGTCCTTCAAGAACCACTTTATAAACACGAAAAACCCAAATTATCTTCGCATTTTCATCAACCATTTAAAGCTGAAATTTCTCATACATTTTCCTGACTCCAATCCCCACATTTTCATGGAGAAAAGTGGACTAAACCAATTATAAAAAAGCCATTTTGCATGTCAACAGCGTGCACGAAAAATTTAACCAAAAAGCGCAAACAAAAATTAATTAAATTATTCTTAGCTAAGCAATGTCACATGAGTGTGGGGATCGGGTGTGGTGCTGCAACATGGATGCAACTCATCAATAAACAAAATTTATGGCAACCG